CGCCTGCGACGAGGCCGCCCAGCCGTCGGAGCAAAGGCTGGGAGCTGCGAGAGCTGGGGCTCGTTCCCGTTTCTGCCACCGACTCGGGCCAAGTCCGTCGCGTTCTGCGTCTCGGGCGACAGGGCGATACCTGCACGTCCCTGCGAACTCGTCCGAGACGCTCCTAGCGACGGCAGTACAAAAGCCGCGCAACCACTGCCACTGGAACGAGTTCTAAAAAACAGCAAAAACCTCGACGGATCGGCTAGATGAGTCGGTATGGAAAAGATTTGGAAAAGGTATTTACAAAAGTTGAAAGAGATTAAATACAATACCACATTCATGTCCCAAAAGCGCTTTCACTACAGTGCATGTTTAAAAATACAGAGCATTTTTTAAGTATATATATATCTATATATATCTCGAAGATTAGATTGTGCTTTAAAAAAAATCATTACTTCTGAATTTGACTAACGTGAAAACTGAGCGCTGGGAAAAATACTGATTAAAAATATCCGACTTTATATATACCGCTTTTCACATAACATTTTGCTATACATGGGATGCAAGTAAATATAAAAATACTTTTTTTCAAGCAGCGGGGTGATCAAAATTAAGAGTATTAATATAGGAGGGCTGATTTTACAAAACTAAGATAAATTATTAGAGCGAGACAGGGAGAAACTATAATCCAAATTAACTTTTATATAGCATTTTAAAAGAAATCTTTATCATAGACAACTCTTAATATATAAACGATTCGGTATTTTTAACTTCAACATTAAATATAGATGACGTAAAATACAATCTATGCAAAACTGACTCATGCAGACGGTCCTGCTGAGAGCGAGGTTTGCAGACTTTGGTCCTCGGGCCTCAAATTTAGCAAAACGCGTAAAGACCTGGCGAGCTTTGCTCATCAACTCCTAAGCTCCAGCTTGGCGTCTCAGCCCGGTCCTCTGTGCGCAACAGTAGGGAAAAGTGAGTTTACAGGGAAGACTCCGTAATACTGTGGAAAATGAGCTGTAAGAGGGAATATACGGCAACTTACATTTTCAGCTTGACGAAGCGGCCTATTTGTTGCCATAGTACTCATCTGTTCACGGGAAAGATTTTAAGTTATGAAAAGGAGTTACTTCGCAACTCTAAACGCCTGTCTCTTGAAAAATGGGGTGCAGGGGGATATACAGGTGACATAAAAAATTAAAACGGATTACAACAGTGCCAACTGCATATGAACTTCAACTGTGTTGAACTTAAGTGATCACAGTTTGGAGCAAAGGCCATTAACATGGATTTTTAAAATAATCCCTCGTGTAAACGTCACATACAGGCCCAAAGAGGTTAGGCAAGTAACGCACACTTTAAGAAGAGTATTAAACTTCAGCATAAAGAGAAAAAATAAATTCACCCCGCAGTTACATTCAGTTAAGCGTCACACCCGACCAAAGCTCTGCCCAACGAAAGAAGCAGCCGCAGACCAAGTGCCAGGCTGCGCTCAGCTGCCCCTGGCCAGTCGCGCCGGAGCCGGCGCTCGCAGGCGAAGGACCGGCACGCGGATCACCTACGCGTATTTGCTCCCCTCCCTTTTCAGCCGGTCCCTATCGCAGACCAATTTTTGTTCCACTTTTTTTCTTTCCTTGTTCGGTTAGGTATTATTATGGAATATGTAGTTCTTCAGCTGCGGTCCATTTTACCTCTTGTGGTATTGATCCTGTGCTCATCACTACGGTTTAGATGCTTCCCCTCCATCCCCCATTTCTGTCCTCGAACGCTATAGGCTACCAAGTTAAACCACCTACCCGACTTTCTTCCCTGAGGTTACCTTTGTTTCAATGCATTTCGGCAAACCTTACAAAGCCAGTGGCAGTCTACCAAGCTACTTAATCCTAAGGTTACAAATACATAGACTCCTTCAAAATAAAATTGCTTCAAAGCTCCTCCGTCACTTTGAAACACGGCTGTTTAATACACCCTTCTCATAAGGTGACTCGCTTTCCCCAAAACTCAGTAGAGCGAGGACACGGACTCCGAGCAAAAAGCTCCTATAAAACTATTACAATTTTAGAAAAAAATCCAGATCTTCCTGAAGATAATTTATTGCCGCTTATTGGTCCTGAGAAAGCTTTAAGCAACAATACATTTGCAAGTGGTTTAACTGCTGCCTTTTTTGAGAAAGCACGTGGGTCCTGAGATTAAAAATCATGTTTTACTCTACGCGCTTACGCTTGGAAAATGCTTCACTGTGAAGATCAAATATGAATTACAATTTGCCACGCTACATCTCCTCCCTTTGTGTCAATTAATTAAAACAGATTTCCTTTCAACACCAAATTAAAGTTCTGGAGATGAAATGCAATGAAGGAATGCCACACGTGCACTTCTCAATTCCTCATATCGGACCGGCATTTAAGGACTTCAAATTTATGGAATCTTCCTTCTCTCTCATGACCCACCTCCTACTAAAAGCTATGGTGTGAATTTTTTGGCCTGGATACCAGAAAATTCCTCATCTGATACTCTATGAAAGGCAACTTCAAGGCAACGAAATAAGCCAACAATAAAACAAAAACATTTGCAACTTTTGAAAAAAAAAAAAAAAAAATGCGGACCCACAGCAGTTACTTCTCAATGGAAGTGTTTGGTAGCTTGAGATTTTTTTTTTCTTTTTAGCTTTTCAAGTGTCAAATTTGCATATGTTTAGCTCAATTTCAATATTTGAAAGACTACTCAATTTGCTTTTATAAAAACTTTACAAAAGATGTTTTTAAATGCTTGTAAAAGTAAGCGTTTGTCTACTGAGAAAATTCTAGTACTGGATAAAACTCTGAATATACAGCTGAATTTTTTAAATGTTTTTTTTTTCCCCCTACAAGTATAATGGCTGAGTGTATAATCTAGACAAATTAGTCTTACACATGATGAAAAGTTATAACTTTGCACACTTTTTACCATGTGATGTTTTGTTGCTTTGTAACTTCGAACGAGACAGTGCTTAGGAATTTTCTAGAGCTGGTGTACAGTGGTCTATAGGGGTTGGTTCATTGGTCACTGCCTCTGTCCAGGTTTTCAATCACCCTCGAAAGACGTATGTTCAGGAGTCTGATCTGACTATCCAGGTGGTCCATCTTCTCCTCGAGGCTGCTGTTGCTGTTTCTTCTCCAGTAAAATCCAACCGGCCCTGTCATGAAGTAGACTGCTACAACAAAGCAGAGAGGCAGGACTGCGTGCTCCGGGTCACCTTCATACTTCTGGAGGATGTAGACGCACGAGAGAGTGAAAAGGGCAACCCTCGCAATCCAGAAAAAGCGACCGAACAGCATGTGCAGGAGATAGAAGAAGAATCCAAGGAAGAGAGATAAAAACCAATAGGCAAGTAAAATGGCACCAATCAGCAGAAGAGCACGGGTTGGGTTGTTGGCAATTGCCGCTGGGCTGAAATAATGAGTCAAGTTGGAGGCTGAAAAACAAAGGAAAATTTACAGAGCGTTAACGAGTGCATGCCAAAGTGATAAGGGTAAAAATGCAAGCCCAGCTTCAAAGGGCCAGGCAGTGGGGTCACGGCTGTGTTTTCTAAGGGAAGGGGTAAAGCTAGTTCATCCATTTCTGGACTGACCTTTTTCAAATCACTGGCTCAGCTCCAATCATGCAATTGAATTAATCCCTTTAAAGCAGAAGTGCTAAAGGTTCTTTAAAGACAAACTACTGTAAGGCCTAAGGTCGAAGTTCATACTGAGGCTAAAGACCCTGCTTTGTATAGGTTATATATAACTTTATATATATATATATCTATATATATATAAACCAACCGTGACTTGTAATGCGTTTTACAGACCTCCTGTAGATGCATATCCAGAAACGGAATGGCTGGTTTTAGTCCTCTTGTTTGAAGGTACTAATAGCAAAATCAAAGCCATGTGAGGCGGCTGGAGGTACCACTGATGGATGTTTAATGCAGCGTGATAAAATGTAATTATTTCCCACTCGGCCTATGCTTGTAAACATTGATACAGGCTGATATAGTTCAAGAGTTAACAGGCATCACACTTACCATCAATTCCAAGAACATCTAACAAATCAGTCCATATTCTCCAGAATGTGTCCATTAATATATCCACCCCATTCACAAACCTCTCTGTCAACCTTGAGAAAAACTGAGACATGAAATTGAAAATTAAAAAAAAAAAAAAATCCTCAATTCCATAAACACACTTTGAGACTTAGCAGTCATCAGCAGAATTCTAAATTCATTAAACAAGAATTGCAGGCTATTTTGAAGTCCCCAAGGAAAAAAAAATTTAATTCTGTAAGTGTTTTTTCACTACTTATTGCAATTGCCCTCATTCTGGTTTTTTTTTGGCATGTAAATGTCTATGTTGACAGGATTTAAAAACGCACTTTATTAGCTTTACCATTGTTCTGAAGTGTAAAGAAAACACTGTTACTAGCAATGGAGGTTGGTAAAGCAAACCAGAGAATTAGTTTTATCGAGCAACTGAGAGATGTCCCCAGCATCACCTCCGAATGTCTCAAATGCATTTACAGGTCAATTTAACGGTATTATTTCTTCCTGCTGGCTGAGGAGAGAAGGAACAGGGGAATGTATGGGTCCGTCTGCCTGCATGCCTTATTTCCTGCAAGTTCCTATGCGGCCCCGCAAGCACAGGATGCTCTGGGGATGCAGACAGACCGTATTTCAGTTGGAGGGCTCCTCACCGACAGCGCTCTGCCCTGGCCGCCTCCCCCACCTACAAAAATTCTTATTTAGATACGTCTTTTATTAATATTTTTTGCAGTTTGCTCCACGTCAAGCCTCGCGTCCCGTTTTTCCTTCCCAAAGCGACGCTCCAGCCGTTCCGCCGCCTCGCCCGCAGCCGGGCTCGCACAGGCCGCCGCGGGGCCGGGGCCG